ATAATGCCAGATACGGCGCTTGACCACTGCTGGACGCGGAGGCTTGGCCTGTGGTGCTTTGGCAGATATCAGGCAGTGGTCGGACGAGCCCAGGGGGGCTCTTACCACAACCTGATAGCCCTGTGGATGGGTCGTGAGCAGAAGGTCCAGTAAAGAAGGCGCTTGACTTGGAATATCTGGGATCCTGGTGGGCTGATCAACCAGTTGCTTCAAGTCATGCGTGAGAGCGAATGCGTGAGCAGAGATCCCTGCATGGTCAGTTTTGGAAGAACTTAACCACAGATTGTGGTGAGCATTAAAGTCCCCCAAAAACATCAATTCTGCATTGGGAAATCGCTCCTGCGCGTCATCTGCTGCCCGACTAAGGTGTTCAAAAAGTCGAGTTGTCTCAACATCGCCGGTGTGGGATCTGTAGAGGCACACGTAGACTCTGGCCCGGGGGCCAGAGTCGACGTGTACCCCCAGCATGGAGAAGGAGGGATCTTCCAAGCAGCGGAGACGGCGACAACAAACATCCGCCCGAACATACAGGCATACACCGGCTTTCGCTTTGAGGACTCTTCAAGCACGTAGCCGGGATAATTAAGGTAGCCTGTGTCAGCAGGCGGAAGTATTTGTGTCTCCGTCAGGAACAACAATGCTGGCCGTGCTGTCTCGAGATGGTGGTGGACAGCGTTGAGGTTAGAGTGGAGTCCGCGTATGTTGCAGAACTCGACCTCAAACAGATTCTTCTTGATTGGGACACATTTTGAGCGCACGTGTTGTATCTAGGGTATTTAATATCGTTGTGAATGACGGAAAGTTCTATAAAAAAGTCTGCAATAACATATCTTACTTTTGAAGGTGACTCATTATATAACCATTTTCTCAAATTAATGTAAGTGAAACCGCGGGACAGCTCTAGTACCAAAATAAAATGCTGTGATCTATCCTCGTAGAACCAGATTACGATATCCATCCATCGTACAATATTCGCTCGAATGCTTGACGCATCGATTTCCAGTTGCGTAAATCCACTTTACCTCGGGCAGTTTTTAATTGGTATTGAAAATCTTGCAGTTTTCCCGGTTGATTAATAATAATGAACATTTATTTCGGATAAGGATACATCCATGTTATGGTTAGTTATATGATTACTTATTATCTAGTGTTATCGAAATTTAATTACTTACATACTAAACTTGTGCCCGTTATACACTTTTGGATACAATAAGCTATTATAGGGAAATCATATCGACCCCCTATAACTTGCAGAATGGAGTTTGTCTCACTTCTCACACACAATTAAATTCGAATAGATTTTTAGTGTTACGCGGATACATTGTATGGTACAGTATTGAAGTAGACCAATGCCAGTGGCCAACATAGAAGGGTTTTGTGGAGTGATGCCCATACTTCGGTGTTGAGTTATGTGAGACAAATGTTGGCGACAGACAACAAGTGCCGACCAAATGAGGTCTATACACGTTGACGCTGCCCTTTACTCGGCAAATTAGGCAAGGGACACCGAGCGATGACAAGGCTAGACAAATATACTGTCTACACGTTAGTGTAATGCCCTTCGCTTGGTCAACATGTATGTATAGACAACTTAACATGCACCCAGGAATAGTAAAATGTGGGTGATGCCCACGCTTAATTCTAGTCAAATTCACTACTGTAACATTAATACAAAGAAAAACTAGAAAAAAATCCACGCGCACCAGGTAGCAGACGGTACTCGAACCCGTTTCTAGTAAAATTTTCTTTAGATTAAAACATCTTAAAAAATAAAAATATTACTATAATTAATAGGAATGGTTTTCTTTTTACCTGCAAATATATAAGTACTTAATATTAATAATATCCGAAGCTCTTTCTTACTTACCTTTAATAACTTAATTATTCTATTTATAAGTTGGTTATTTCTATGGGCTTCGAGTGAAACTATAACCTGAAACAAAAATGTTTTCTTTTTAACCTAAGACGCAGCAAAATATCCGCACCTGATGTTAAGTTTAAGTGGAGTCCAGTCGCGAAGTTAGCTAACGAGGCCGAAAAGTGCACTGTACTTTAAGCACGAACTTTGACAGATCTGTACCCTTAGCACGAACCAATATCGAATTGTTTGCAAGTCCGAAATGTGTAAGTGTAATAAATCATTGTAACTGTATAAACCTAATATGTGGCTACTTAACTACTAATTTTAATGAATCATTGTAACTGTATAAATCTAATATTTTACTATCATCCACTAATAGGACTGTTACAACTTCTTAAAGAAGAATTCTCCAATACTTCTGTTAAAAAATCCATAATTCACGATAAAGGTACCCGGGTGGTCACTCGCGGCTTGCTAGCCACGACAATGGCACTCAACATCTACGGCAGACGCACTGTACATTACTTGTTACCTTGTTTCATAAACAAAATTGATCCAGAATTTAGAGATTCGCTTAATAAAAACAATATAAAATGTAAACTTAAAATGTTGTTTTTAAATAATATTTTATGTGACAATGATGAATTGTGATGTGCGGCGAACTGTGATGCATCATTCAAACTTTAATGGTTTTTCGATGTGTTCTTAATGTAAAAATACATTGATTATGTATTTTTAGCACAAAAAAAAATTAAACTTTTTTTCTTTTTAGCATCTATCCTTCACTATCCAATAAGTCCCAACGATGCTCGAGTGAATCCCTATTTAGCATCGTGGGCTCCCTTACTATATAATTTTTAATTCAATAAACACACACCACAACCATAAAATTAATTTTCACTGTGGTCTTCTGTAAAAGGAGGTTCGTAATTTATGCAAAAATATATAAATGTCTTACAAAGATAAAAACTCACCAAAACAAAAAACATATAAAGTAAATACCACTTCATTTTGTATTTCGTAGATAATTTATAGCTAAAAGAAAGGAAAGATTATGCAATTTAATAACATGACGAGATCAGAGAGAAAAAACTTACAAAGAGTGGATTTCGTTATTTTCAATTATCAAAGAAGTCGGACCGTGAAATAGGATGTATGATAAAATAATAGAACTTTATTAATGAATTGTATTGGTTGGTAGTCGATCTGACGCGTACTCTATATGACTCCGGTTCAGTTTGGGCTACGAAGGTAGCAGAGGCCGAAGTACGAGTTTTTGACAGATCCGTAACGTTTCGCATCGTCAAAATTTTAATAGATTCCTAAGCCCAAAATTGTACAAGGAGGTAAATAGAAAACTTGGCATTTACAGGCTTTCATCGAGAGAATGGGAAACTTTGTTTGACAATTGGCTTTATACTCTTACTTATGAGCAAATAGAAGACTTCTTGAGTAGATAACAGTAGATTACTTCAGGGTTTCTCCATATAGCTGCAAACTAATACTCACCCGACATACATATACACACTCATACATACACACACATCCATGCACGCACGCACACATCATACACATAAAATTCTTGCATTCAAATGATTAATTAATTTAATAGTTAAATAAAACACATTTAAACGGATAAGATGGACTTATTTTATTTGTTTATTGACGTTTCGCAGCCTTTTCAGGTCAGTAAACCTAATGTTGTCTCTGTCTTTGTTTTAGCAAGGAAAAGTGACAGCATCAGTTTTAGTCTAGGTTTAACTTTAGTCTATTTTTTGTAATAAGGAGAAGTAAGTTGTAGCTAAACTAAAACTGGGAATAAATAATTTGAACGACCCGACCCTTAAAAATATTACTTAGTGTGTAATTTCGTAAACTTAACGACCATTATGGCTTCACCCTTACGCTGGGTATCCGCTTGAATCTAAATATACCTCCCATAAGAAATACAAAAAAAATCTCAATAACTTTGAACTTTTTTCACTTCAAGGTTCTATTTTAATAAACTAAAACGCCAATGATCAACCGCTTTAAAGCCACTCGTGGCACTTGTGCAGACGACCCGAACGCGCGCTATCTACATCGGCGAGGATGATTCGATGTCCACTCGACAACGAAACAATTGAAGGCCGATCCAGAGAGCCCTCCAATCTAGCCCTTTTGCAGACAGAACTAACGTCATAGCACATATATCAACTCGGGCAGGCAAGTCGAACCGTCAAACAGACGTCCACCTAATGTAAACATGTAGGTAACGTAAGCGGATAAGCAGAACCAGCACGTTCAGATCGGCTACGGATAGGTGCTGGTTGATGGCACAAGTTCAAACAGTCATAGCGAAAGTACGAAGTGATTCGTGAACGAAGAAACGTTAGTTAGGCCAAAGAGAGACTTAAACAAAGCTACGGAGAGACTTAAGCTAGGCTACGGATAGACTTAAGCTAGGCTACGGATAGAATTAAGCTAGGATACGGAGAGACTTAAACTGGGCTACGGAGAGACGTAAGCTAGGCTACGGAGAGACGTAAGCTAGGTTACGGAGAGATGTAAGCTAGGCTTCGTAGAAACGTAAGCTAGGCTACGGAGAGACGTATGCTAGAATACGGAGAGCTGACCAAACACTTTCTTAAGCTTATCCCGAGGCGAGGCGATTCCAATTTGTGTGCGTTCCAGTTAGGAGTTTGATACAAAGTATACTGAATGAATACTCGAATTGATACGGTGACGATCCGTTTCCGAGTTGATATGTCTACTACGGCCATTATACCTTTATTTTACCTACTATTATATATACATGTCATATTAGAAAACCTCGATACCGCAAGTGGTTAGCGCGTACTCACTGCGATCGTGGAAGTTTCGCGTTGGACCTGCGTGGTGAGTTCTGGGACATTCTCCCTGTACCATAAAAACTATGGGAAAAAACAAACAATTCGCAACACCGTGATGGCGTGATCGACACCGACGACACCTCTGTATATTAAGGATATTCATTTAAATTATGCCCAATGTCATTAGTAGTGACTTTTTGAAGTTATACTTCTTTAGGCGCGTTATGAAAAAATGATGAGAGTGAAATTTTAAGATGCGTGCGCATCAATGTAACACAAAATTTTAAAATAATGAAGTTGGTCGCTTTAGCGACCAACTTCATGCGTTACTTTTGTGTTTACCGCACATTAAGAAAATCTACCAATAAAATAGAAATAGAATCTCTATTTAGTGGGTGCTAACGACTGCATTGTGAAGGCCTATCAAAAGTATTTATTAATCTGGAACAACGGAACCAAAGCGCGATTCAGGAGACTACAGCGCCATCTCTTGACCATTGGTGTAGTAGAACCAAAAACCACATCTTTATTTTTTGTAATAAAGTAACAAAAAGTATTTATTAATCTGGAACAACGGAACCAAAGCGCGATTCAGGAGACTACAGCGCCATCTCTTGACCATTGGTGTAGTAGAACCAAAAACCACATCTTTATTTTTTGTAATAAAGTAACAGTTATAGGTATTCATATTTATAATATTTATCCACATGTTTCTAGTTTGTATATTCGGAATACGCGTTTGAGTTTCATACAAGTGCAAATCACATAAGTTCTAATAAATTATATTCAGTAGCGATTTTAATTGAATATTTTGATTATTTATTTATTTTTTAAAATTAAAACTGAACTTTATTGACTTCGTCCTTTTCCAGACTTTTTATTAATTTATTGTAATTAATTATTTGCATGCAATTAAAAACTAATTTTAAACGATGCCAAAGAAGGATAACTTCTCACGCGCCTACATAAGTACACGCACCCATTTTTTTTATAGCCAGGTAGGCAAATGACTCTACCACACCTGAAGTTAAGTGGTGATAAAGTCCAAACGCGAAGATAGCTGGTACAGCAGTTATACTTGGTTTAACTAATTTACTTTTATTTTAAGTGAAAATTTCGTTGGGCAGTTTGGCATTTTTTGAGATGCGGTGTTTTATTTATCTTAGTTTAGCTTTTTATGAGATTCGAGTTATCACTTCTGTTGGAAATTCCGAAGTGCTACAGGAATTTTTGAAGTGAAAACTTCTTTAGCGGCGTTGTACATTTTTTTTGTATGGGTAAAAAATGATAAACTCACGTCAGGACACGTGGACACGTGACTTAATCGAAAATTCGTAAGACGAAAACAATAAAATTGGAACGGTTTTTTACTTTTAATATATTGGACAAACCATAGTAATATTTTATTTTATCGTATTATAATAATAAGTCTCTATCTAGACTTCCAGGTGACAGCTTTATTGCGAAGAAAATGCACTTTTTTAACGATAGATGTCGCTAGGTGCGCTTAAATGTGATGATCTTGTATATCAAAAATGCACAACGTTGGTATTCAAAGTTTTCACTTCTGCCGGTACTCCCGGAGTGCAACCCGTCGTTTTTTTTATACACAAACCACTGGCAGTACGGCAATGTATTCGTATCTCACTGTCAGCAATCTTAGTTTCTAATGCATACTAATGTCATAGGTACCAGCGAATCACCATCGCCAGAGTAAAAAAAAAACATATTTTCGAAAAACAAAACGAGGATACATAGGAAAAAGAAAAGTAGCACACTCCCGAGCGATTCTTACTCTATATCTGGTGATGTGGAGCGCGCCTTGAACGTCGGCGTTATCATGACGGTTTCTACAAATCACAATCACAACTATCAACATTGATCAGGATAGATAACATTACTTAATAACTAGGAATACTCCCTATCCGTTATTATATTAAATTTGATTGTTAATATTCGCAAAAAAGTGTACATTTACTAATAAAAACACTCTTTTATGAATAATAGTACTAACATTAATATCCCATAATAATATTCAGGTGCGTTACATTAAAATGTCAATCATTTTAACAGTATCTACCGCACCCACATAGGTAAAATATTTTTGTTAATTCAAACGTCACTTTGTAAATCAGCTTAGAACTAATGGTTTCAGTATGATATTTAAATTGATTCCATCACTTATTTTGTGATATAAACTACTTCGATTTAATTTAATTGACATCTTGAGAGCATAGTAATCTGTTTATATGTAAAGTTGTTAGTAGCAGCAGCTTTTATAACTATAATATAATTTTATAATAACATCATGTCATCTTTCAAAAAAAATACTGGATCTACCCTTAGCACGAACCAATATTGAAATCGTATCGTTTGCGAGTCCGAAATGTCATTGTCAAATGTGTACTGAGTTTTAGTTCTCGTTACGTACTTTGTGCCGCTGCTGTACAAGTTTTCATACAAAATTTGACATTGACATTTCAGTTTGCAAACTATTCGAATTCGATAATGGTTCGTGCTAAGGGTACAGATGTGGACGGGTGAGTAGAATAGTTCGGTATTACTCGGCAGCCCTTGGTAGCACTCGATGCAGAGAGCTGTGTATCCGGTCGGTAAAGAGATCTGTACCAACGAACCAATATACGTCGTTTACGATTTAAGACGTATTAAAAAAAAACGTCTTACTAGATCTCGTTCAAACCAATTTTCTGTGGAAGCTTGCATGGTAATGTATTTTTTTTTAGTTTTATCATTCTCTTATTTTAGAAGTTACATATTTTAAAATGGGGGGGGGGGGGGGGGAACATACACATTTTACCACTTTGGAAGTGTCTCTTGAGTAAACTATTCAGCTTAGAAAAAAATATATTAGAATCTTCAATATCAGTTTTGAAGACCTATCCATAGATACACACACGTACGGGTATGATGAAAAAATTTTTTTGAGTTTCAGTTCTAAGTATGGGGAACCTCCAAAATTTATTGATTTTTTTTCCATTTTTGTGTGAAAATCTTAATGCGGTTCACAGAATACATCTTCTTACCAAGTTTCAACAGTATAGTTCCTATAGTTTCGGAAAAAAGTGTATGTGACATACGGACGGACATGACTAATCTATAAGGCTTCCGTTTTTTGACATTTGGCTACGGAACCCTAAAAAGTTTTTGAAGTTATACTTCTTTAGGCGCGTTATGAAAAAATGATGAGAGTGAAATTTTAAGATGCGCGCGCATCACTGTAACACAAAATTTTAACAGCATGAAGTTGGTCGCTTTAGCGACCAACTTCATGCGTTACTTTTGTGTTTACCGCACATTAAGAAAATCTACCAACAAAATAGAAATAGAATCTCTATTTAGTGGGTGCTAACGACTGCATTGTGAAGGCCTATCAAAAGTATTTATTAATCTGGAACAACGGAACCAAAGCGCGATTCAGGAGACTACAGCGCCATCTCTTGACCATTGGTGTAGTAGAACCAAAAACCACATTTTTATTTTTTGTAATAAAGTAACAGTTATAGGTATTCATATTTATAATATCAAAAGTATTTATTAATCTGGAACAACGGAACCAAAGCGCGATTCAGGAGACTACAGCGCCATCTCTTGACCATTGGTGTAGTAGAACCAAAAACCACATCTTTATTTTTTGTAATAAAGTAACAGTTATAGGTATTCATATTTATAATATTTATCCACATGTTTCTAGTTTGTATATTCGGAATACGTGTTTGAGTTTCATACAAGTGCAAATCACATATGTTCTAATAAATTATATTCAGTAGCGATTTTAATTGAATATTTTGATTATTTATTTATTTTTTCAAATTAAAACTGAACTTTATTGACTGTGTCCTTTTCCAGACTTTTTATTAATTTATTGTAATTAATTATTTGCATGCAATTAAAAACTAATTTTAAACGATGCCAAAGAAGGATAACTTCTCACGCGCCTACATAAGTACACGCACCCATTTTTTTTAATATTTTGTAAAATATGACTTCCTCGAGTTCTCATCATCACTAATCGAGATAAACTTTAAACAAATCATTATATTTTCAAAGTTATCTCGACTAATGATGAGAATACAGTAATCTAAAAATTAACTTTACTTTCGAAGTTTTCTGGCCGAGATGGAGCTCGAATAATAATGTCTATTTGGAGATTTATTCAATTAAAACTTGAATTGGTTCCTAGAAACGAAAACGAAACCAGCCCACACCGACTCAGTGGGAAAGGCGCCTAACACTGGTCCGAAAGTGAATGCCACAGACAGACACACGGACACGTCAAACTTACAGCAGCCCGTTATTTGCATCGGGGCTTCAAATACCATTATTCGCTTACATCTTGGTCACATATGCTCCCCCGTCTTCTTAAAGAAAATTAGGGTTAGGGACCATTCGTTATGCGAATGTGGACTTGACGAAGGAAACGTCTATCACATATTTTTCAATTGCCTAAAAAATACCATCTCTCTTTATGATATACTGCCTAAAAATATCGCCCGCCCTGTGATAGTAAACCACTTACTAACCATGGTAGACTTTCCCTTCATCCAAGTCCTTGCCAAGTATATTCACACCAATAAAATTAAATTGTAACTTTTAAACTCCCATTTATTATTACTAATGCTTTTATTGGTAACTGTAGTGTTTGTCATTGTGTCATCTATAACCTTTTTATTTAACCCTTTTAGGTCACTCAACCGGCCAATAGTGGAAAATGCGTAAAACTGCAAAAAAAACTGATCATCTGTAGTACTGAACCCTGACATTGGCTGAATTGTCTAAGAAGACAACAGCCAGCATTTACAAAAATTGAATAGAATAGAATAGGTAGTCAGTTACAATACTTAATTTTGTCATCATAATTATGAGAGATCATTACCTATTACCTAAATAATACAGAATAGATCATAGTTACGATTAATGTGTTTATACAATGAAAATCATTAATATTTTTATGCCAAATTTTATTTCTATAAAAAATGGAAAAAAATTACATCATACGATCTTCACAATGTCTTGTTTCGTAGCGAATATCACAATAGAAAAATGCTCTCTCTCATTTACAAGAAAAGTTACATACAAAATTAAGAAATTCAGTGGGCAAAAAATATGTCGACCAAAAGGTCGAATAATTAAATTTGCCCAGCAAAAGCTTATTTACTTATTAGCTATTATCTTTGATACGACTATTAAAAATTAGCCTTTCTAATACAATTACTAGGCTAATCGGAATACACGCTTAAGTTGTAATGGATGTGGAATCATTCAAAATCATGAATTGTGGCTTATTTCAAAAACATATATATGCAGCCGATGTATTCATAGGATCACGATACATACTTGTCTCAATTTCTTAATATTGAATTCAAAATTACAGTCCTCATTTAATCAATACAAATTGCAATTTCACTCATAACACAAATTATTGTAGTGAAAAACCCTTTCACTCCTCATCTTAGAATATAGACAGTTATTCTTGCATTCATACTCTTATAATCCTTAATTAATATCCACTTATTGTGTAGCACCTCCAATAAATTATCGTGCAAAATAATAAATTATTAAGTTGATTTATTACTAGCCTCACAACAATAAATAATATATAATAAATTAAAAAACTTAAAAAGCAAATTCAAACAATGGTAAAGTAAAAAAACAAATAAACTAAGTACATTTTGTTTTCAAAGATAAAAAACTTAAAACACAAAAGTAAATGTAAAGCAAATATTTGGAATGTAAATGTCTTTGGCGAAGTACCTTAATTAATAGGCGGGCGAACTTTGGTAGAGAAACTACCAATCATATTGCCTGGAGGATAATAGTTTGCTACTACGTAAACTTGACCGTCTTTCGACTTAGCTATACCAACACCGACCTCCTTTGTATCTTCCCAAATCACTTGAGTAAAATGACCTGTGCCAAGACTAGTAGGCTCCCTTCCGAATTTGTGATCTTTAATTTCTGAATACCATTTGTCTACGGGCTCCTTACCAGACACTGTGAAATTGGGATCCGATGACCAGGCGAAGAATATGTTCTCGCCATATTCATTCTGGTCTCTGTGCTCCATACTGCCTTTCTTTGCTAACGTTTTAGCCCACTCTTCTGCATATTTATTTAGTTTTTTATTAAGTTCCAGTGGCGGTACACCGTGTTTCTCTCTATAATAGTTGTGTGCTTTAAGACATTCGTCCTCGAATTTATCACCAGAAATAGACGTCGATTTCAATTTGTTGACCAAATCTGAAGCGAAATCACCTATGTTTTTACTACTTCTTTGGTTTGGAGAAATTGGCTCTATGTTATTGTTCGTTTCAACCTTAGAGCTGTTATTTCTGAACTGCATCGCTCCAGGAGGCAGCACATTTGCGCAAAACTGTCCGCTATAATTACCAGGAGCAGAGTAATTGGCGACGACATAAAGTTTGCCGGATTTGCTTTTAGCACTACCCACTCCAAGCTCTTTGGTACCCTTCCAAACAATTTGGGTGAAGTGACCGCAGGTCAGTACCTCCGGTTCTCGACCGAAGGAGAACTCGTTGATTTCGCTATACCATTTGTCCACGCAGTCACGTGCTTTTATTTTTGTATTTGGATCCGGTGACCATCCACAGTATATGCTTTCTCCATACTGCTTGTTTAGACTGTATGACATAGCATCCTTCTTTGCCAATTCTTCGGCCCATTTTTGACTGATTTTGCAAATGTCTTTGCTTAATATTAAAGGTGGTACGCCATGTTCCCGTCTGTATTCGTTGTGAACTTCTAACGCCTCGTTTTCGAAGTCGCTGGATTTCGAGCTAAATAGCTTGCTCTGAAAATGGATAAAAGGAGATTTTTTAATACCTGGGAGTATTTTCATTTTTCAAATAAAGATCACGTTAGCCTAATTTAATATTAACAACATGAATCCTGAATTTAAAACTGGAACACTCCTCTTTTAATTTAATCATAGTCTAGTATTAGTATATTTTTTTATTAAGGATTTTATAAAAAATATATTTCAAAATTTTACTCGGCCCTGCTTTTACTTTCAGATTATATTCTAGTATTTTTTTCTATAGTCTAGTATTAATCACATCATCATAATAATATAATCATTTTTTTTAATGATACATTTATCTTTTGTGTACCCTTAAAAAATAACTATATAACAACATTAAATGATTTTAGTGTGCTGTTCCTATGGTTAATCAGATGGGTGCCTAAACCGTATCGTGTACCAAATTTAGTAATTATCAATTTGTGTCCAATTGCATCTAAAATAAACCAAAAAGGCTTTAATTTGTTTATTATTATTCAAAGCGCTGCTTGCATGTGGTTACGAATGACCGTACCGTAATTGGATGAATCACTAAGTCCCCTTTCACACCTTCCGGTCGAAATAGCCGGGTTACGAGCGATTCCCTCCGTTTTCATTTCCCTCCGAATCTAATCATGAATATATACACAGCGGCGAGTTCTTGATGTTGGGATAAAAAATTACCTATGAAACAATCATAGATTGTCATGGGTAACATACAATAAATTTTAATTATGAGCGTAGGTACATTACATTATAATAGTTATCGGACACACATAACCATAACACGACAAAACGACGTTCGTTTGTTAGGTTTAATTTCCGGAAATCATATTAACACGATTGATAACGACTCTGTAGCACAAATAAATCATGGGTTTTTTGGTTTAACTCTGTTTACAATACAAAATATTAAGGCACGTTTAACCAAAAAATAAAATAAAATTATAAAAAAGGGTTTTTCGTTCCGGAATTTGTTGAAAAGATGTCCTGACACTCAAGGCCATGCCATGCGATATGTTTGTTATTTATTAGCTTTAAACAGAGATAACTCAAAAATTATAAATTGGTCAAAATGTAAACTGAACTTGTAATACTCAAACTAAATACCTAACATAAAATGTTCATAAATAGTAAGTATCTTCGACGTGGAGACAATAAAGCGATCGTTGTATAATAACGTACAATAATTTTATGCATTCAGGTTTGTTTTGTTAATGTACTTAGCTCCGGGAACAAGGCTTACCGCAAGTGTACTTCGCGTGCCAAAAACATGCCAAAAGGGAGATCAAACGTCTTCCTTTTCCGCTATTTTATTTCTTTTTGTTCTCGATACGGATGCTAATCACATTTTTTCAAGTCTCTTATTGTGCCATAATAAGCTTTAGAAATGTCATAACTGAAACAGGTTGCTGATGCCTTTCTACCACTTAATTTGCCATCAAAATATAACACGCGTGCTTTTCATACAATTTGACTCGCATACATCGTTTACTTAAATCTAGGCCTGTGCCTGTTGTACCGACTGTTCGACCGCGAGAGAGCGGCTGGCACGCCATGTTTATAAACACCCTAAACCCTAATTTCCCCTACGCCACACAATTATGTTCGTACACATGCATTATTGGGGTTAACATACTACTGGAGCGAGGAGTGTTGTTGCGCAAGTGCTTATCCGGTGTAAACATTTTTTTTAACCAACAAACAGCCGACGTGCTGTGCTCGTTCATACAAATATAACGCTCTGATTCTCACATATTTTTGCATTGTTTTTTTACGACTCCTGTTCCGGTTTTAAAGTCCGATTACTACGGTTGACTCATGCCACATTCACGGTCATTCAGATATAATTTAACGGTTAGTAAATATTTATATAACTGTTCTTTGCTTTAGATTGTGGGCTAGAGGTTAGCTAGGCATTAGGATCGTTGTAAATTTCCGTGTTGGTGAAAGATAAGGCCCTATTTATGATAATTTAGCTGTACTCTATTGGATTAACTACATGGGTATATTGTACCTAAGTTTTGTGTTGAAAATATTTTTGCACGTAATAAGTTTCCCTTTTTTTGTAATATAGAAATGAACTTTGCTTTTTATCATTTAAAGGTATCAATCAAAACTTCAATTTATTTACATTAAAATTTTCATTTTATTTATTAAACGTGAGTCAGTCACATTGAAGTGGTTTTAATAAAAGTAAATTAAATCATAATAACAGTTTATTTTAGGAAATCAATGACGAATTATATGATAAGTTTAATGTAGGTATGTAAGTCCTTTGCTGATATATCTCATGTACTTTATGACTACATTATTTAGATATTCCAGCGATGTAATTTTTATGAATTGATAGCAAACACGGAACCTAATATTTTAATTTCAAAGACAATTTAGATATATTGGCGCTTAATCGTAAATCGATCGTAGATACGACAAATATAGCAACTAATATGTACTAATGATCAAAACGGGATTTAGGAAAGAACTCGTTCTAAAGGAAGGTAATTAATGGGAGGAAAGATAAAACAATACAAGGGAGGTAGTCCAAAACGGATTTTCCGCTACAATGTGTTGTTAATCCAGACAGTAATGAAGTCATTATTTTAAATGCCGATACAAATCCGCTAATACGTTTTTGCCGGATAAACTAATAAAAAAATAGCTATACATATTTCTTTTTAATTATTAGTTTGTTTCATTATTCAACTGCTTTTTTTTAAATAGTAAAATCCAAAAAAACAGAACACCTGTCTTCAAAATAGTTTAAATAAAAACTGAAAAGTGAAAAAGCAAGTCCGGAATACTAGAATTCTCTTAAGTAAGGAAAAAAGCTATTTTAACAGTCAGGACCTATAATTGGGGAAATTTTATCAATTCTACAATATCTAATGGAACTCAATTGATAAAATAGCTTCGTTTCTTAGGTAACAGAATTCTGGACTACAGAGGTCCAAGCACGAATTTTGACAGCTTCGTAATCGTGTTGCATCGTCAAAGTTTCAATGAAAACTAAGTAGCGCCCCTATCGGACGTAAGAACAAACTAGCTTTGTCCATACAAAATTTGATGATACGATTACGGAGCTGTAAAAATTCGAGCTTGGGCCACTGGGCTAGTTTTATTAATTTCAGTTTTTATTTAAACTTAGTTCTAAGTACGCGGGTTTGTATTGAAGTGAAACTTAAGCTGGCGAATGCGTTACGCATTACGAAAAGAAAGAACAGACGAGGCGAACTAAAGTTGAGTTGGTGATATAAGCAAGAGAAACTGTTTTCTCTGTGCGTGCGCACATTTTCTTTTTCTCTTTCTCTTATAGCTAGTAAATGAAATATGTATATGTACATACAGTATATATTGCACACACACACACACACACACACATATATACATATATATATATATATACATGCAGATGGAGCTAAAGAAGTTTCACTTCAGTCCTGTGGTCATAAGCACACCCGTTCTTTGTTTTTTTTTTAACAATTATATCGTATGCATTTTCTTCAATTCTTTAAGACATTTCATTAGCCAATTTGATTTTTTTGATGTTATAGTTAAAGAAGTGCCATTCACGCAACCACGACGAATCAAATGACGACTCGCATGTTAAAATCCGAGAAGCAGTACCCTTGGCACGCACCAATATCTAATTCGAATAGTTTGCAAACCGAAATGTCAATGTCTAATTTTTTATGAAAACTTGTACGGCAGCGGCACAAAGTACGTAACGAGAACTAAAACTCAGTACACATTTGACAATGACATTTCGGAGTCTTCGAATTCGATATTGACTCTTGCTAAGAGTACTGTACCCCTAGCACGAACCAATATCGAATTCGTATCGTTTGTGAGTCCGAAACGTCATTGTCAAATGTGTACTGATTTTTAGTTCCTGTTACGTTGTTTGTGATGCTACTGTTCAAGTTTTCATACAAAATTCGACAATGACATTTCAGACTCGCAAACTATTCGAATTTGAAATCGTGCTAGGGTACAGTCAGGGTATAGGTACAGTTCAGGCTTTAGGTCGTGCTCAAGGACAAGGAATCTCGCTTCATGAAATGGACGTACAATATATCCATACGCTCGAAAAACATTACCATCCGCAGTCGGGTAAAAAGGGAATAGCTATCTAAATCGGTTAATCACTATTGATAAGAATATTTTAAACAAATAAGTATTCTGTTATTCACTACTTCATGGAAATACGTAGTAAAGTTAGTAAAATTTATGTTATTTTTATAACGCATGACGTTCAGAATAGATTCCGCAGAATTCGGATTAGTATAATCTAGGAATTTGCTAAGGTTATATAATAGCTAATCGCTGTCTACTATCATGAATGATATATAGATAATATTCTTTTCATGGTAAAATGAAAAACATATTTTCGTTTTTGGTTGGATAATATCGTGTGATAGTTATAGGAGTTGGTTTCCGTTTTCCGTTTTGAATCGTCGCAATTAAAAAAAAACAAATACTTATGTCTTTTAAGATATATATAAACTTATTAAAGGTAATTAAGCTTGGTTAAAAAGTCTGTATTTTGGTGACTTTTTGTAAGCTCACTTTCGTTTTGAAAGTCTTTGACAATGTTTTATCTTTTCACAGAAATCTTTGTTTGCAATAGTAACCTAAATAAATATTAAAATTAAGCATAAATAACAGAAAATAATAATATTAAAAAAATCAAGTTAGATGCATAAAAAGCAAAGCAAATCTTAATGAAAGACTATTTTTTTGTGATAATCTCAAAGGAGTTCGATGGCGCGGGTGGTAAGCGCGTTCGGCTGCGATCTTTGAAGTTAATCAACTTTCGCAGTGGTCGAACATTGGATGGGTGACCAAAAATCTTCTATCTCGAGTTCCTCCTTGCTTCGGAAGGCATGTTAAGCTGTTGGTCTCGGCTGCATCTGCAGTCGTTACCACCGGCCAATCCGCACTGGGCCCACGTGGTGGGTCGTGGGCCAATCTCCCTATTCCATCCATAGGGAAGGTATGTGCCCCAGCAGTGGGGCAATAATAGGCTAATGATGGTGATGATGAAAGACTAAAAACACCGGCCTAGTGCGAGTCGGCCCCACGCACAAAGGGTTCCGCACCGTTATCTATACAACATTAGACACTATAGATAATATCGAGTAAATAACAGCAAAAACACGTTTGTTAGTTGGGACCCCCCTAACATATTTATTTGAAGAAAATATAACTAGCAAAAATTCCACGCGGACCAGGCAGCAGACGGGACTCGAACCCGCACCCTTCGCAATCCGGGCGAATGCACTGACCAATTATGCTACCGCGGCCCTCACGGACCGCGTCGAAATTCTTCTAGCCATTCTTAAGCTGCAAGGCAGCGCCATCTCTTCGCATTATAGGTAACCCACAATGTCAAATGAATACTTTTACAAGTATTAAACATTTGAAAGAAGAAATAGCAATTATAGTTATAATTTTTATTATTTTTAAAGCATGTAACTGCTTGATGTTTAAATCTAAAGAAAATATTATTATTATATTGGTCAGTGCATTCGACCGGATTGCGAAGGGTGCGGGTTCGAGTCCCGTCTGCTGCCTGGTCCGCGTGGATTTTTTTCTAGTTATATTTTCTTTAGATTTAAACATCAAGCAGTTACATGCTTTAAAAATAATAAAAATTATATTTATTTGATTTTGTTTATTTATTTTCTGTGTCATTATCAACTAAACATTCTGTGAATATTTCAAGGGTCTACCTGTCGCCAATATTATTAATATTGAGTTTATTTATTATTGTTTTTTACTTTGTTTTTAGTGTTTGTTGTTATAGCGGCAACAGTAATATCATCTGTGAAAAAATAATTTGTCTAGGTATCCCAGTTCATGAGATACACCCTGGTGCAGACAGACAGACAAACGGGCAGTGGAGTCTTAGTGCACCCGACTGTATCTATAAAAAATCGGCCAAGTGCGTGTCGGACTCGCGCACCGAGGGTTCCGTACAAACTCAATTTAATACCTCTAAGCGATCATGAGAAAACGGTCTTGACAGACGGAAAGACAGACGGACAGCAAAGTGATTTAATAAGGGTTCCGTTTTTTCCTTTTGAGGTACGGAACCCAAAAAAAAAGAAACTTGATGGCGCACGCAGTAGTTGCCGCGTTCGGAGTTAAGCAACTGTTGCAATAAACAAATAAAATAAATAATTTTTTCCAACACTCACACCAATTAGCCTGGCCCCAAAGTAAGCACTGTAAGGGTTGTGTTATGGGATGCTAGGGTAACGGATAGAATACATATAGAAGTATATTTTTTTAATACATATTAAACATTCATGACTGGAGTACAAATGCTCGTGTTCATCACACAAACATCTGCCCCCACCGGGATTCGAACCTGGGACCCCTCGAGTCGGCGATACCATGAAACCAGGCGTACAAACCACTCGGCCACGGAGGTAGTTTAATAGACACGTTAAGCAATTTTTAGTCCCGGCTGAAAATCCATATAGAACCTGCGTGACGAATCATGGCCGTTTCTCCCAATTCTAGTCATAGGGAAGGCCTGTGCCCTAGCGGTAGGAGCATTTATTTGCATGTATAAATACAGAAATATATATCTATTATTTATTTATTTATATCTGTACTATACTTATATTGTAAAGGTCAAGAGTTTGTATGATTGCTCTTTTGTTTAAATGCGCGAATCTCAGGAACTACTGGTCCGATTTGAATAACCATTTTAGTCTACGGAAAAGTTGAAAAAAAAATGTGTAATATATAGTTGATTTTAAGAAAATTGTACGGTCCGGTTACGATGGGGCTGGTTAAGACAATTTGGTCCAAAAGTTCCTTAAAACAATCAATTAAAAATAGCAAATTTGAATCTGCGTTTCTATATAATACTAACTGACCTAGCGAACTTCGTACCGCCATAAAAAAATTGGGGTTGGTGGTAGAAGGACGAAAATTTTGGGTTATATTTATTTTTGTATGATGTATCATAAAAAAATTAATAAAATATTTTTTATCAAAAATTGAAAAAAAAAAAATTTGGGGGTGGATTACCCTTAACATTTAGGGGGATGAAAAATAGATGTTGTCTGATTCTCAGACCTACTGAATATGCATATAAAATTTCACGAAAATCGGTCGAGCCGTTTCGGAGGAGTTTAACCACAAACACCGCGACACGAGAATTTTATATATTAGATATAAGTGAATATGAAACAATCCCAATTTACTGACTTAAGATTTACCATTTTAAAAGTAACAGCTTGAAATTGTTAAAAAGTGAACAAGTCATACAATTATCAATTAATATATTAATAGAATTTCTAATCAATAAGCTGTGACTTGAATTATTTAATAAAATAAAAACAGAAATACATTTACTGTTTTGGAAGTCCTTTATCACTACGGATATTATAAAAACAAATTTTTTATAACCATTTGAAGATATAGATTGTTACGAATGCACTGTTTATGATCAAAACGAAATAGACAATTTTATTAAAAATTTACATACACACAGACCAAGAAAATAATACAATATTTACCATTTCAATTCCCTTTCTTTTCAACTAAATTACAAAAAGAACTACACGTCCCTTCACAATTGTGTCACTCGCGATCCTGGCAATTGCGAATGATTATCCTTGCGCTGTATGAATGCTATAAACCATTTAGTTCGTTATCACGACATAGCTCCGTCCTTATCATCTGTTTGGTGTCGAAAGAGAGCACAATGATTTGAGTGAAATTAGGTGAAGTTAGCGCTGATCGAGAGCCGCGACGGATTAGTGATAAGGGAAACATATCGATACAGTGCGATAACTGGCAAATGTTACGTACGATTTACGCAGTCAAAGTTATATCTACTAGCATAATCTGCCATTGATTATGAAGGTACATACTTCAATTAGGCATCGAAAACTTGATGGATGGTCTTCTTTATGGGTTGCAAGAGATGATTAATACTCACTGTACGGGTAGTATACTAGCTTTTATCCGCGGCTTTGCTCGCGTTAGATTTAATTTTGAGTAAATGAATTAACCCCTGGATTTTAGTTCTATCAATAAACTGAACCCCTATTTCACTCCTTCAGAGGGTAAGTTTTCAATTTTTTCTTAGCGCATGCCTACATCATTGTATGTATGCCAAATTTCAGCGCAATCCGTTCAGTGGTTTGAGCTGTGCGTTGATTGAACAGTCAGTCATGGCTCAATAACATTTGGTCGTTAGCCCGTAATCGGGTGCACGAAAGACATTACTCGAATTCGAGCACCCGAAGCAATATTTACACTGAAATACGGGCTGGACGACGGTGTCGGATAACCCAAACGAAAATTACCCGAATAAGGCCGGGACTCCACCAAAGCGGAGACGAGACGAGCGGAGGGGAGATATTTTTTAAACAACCAATAGAAGAATCTCCGCTCAGCTTCAGTGGAGATCTCTGTGCGGAGATGTGAGCTGTGCACGGACGACGCGCAGTGGAGACGAGAGATGTGAGCGGCGTGCAGTGAGCGGTGACACCCTCCCCCTTCTTTTCTACCTTATGTATCAGAATGCGTACTGAGCACTCAACGCCTCCCACCCGAGCTGAAAAACTTTTCTTCTCGCATAGCACACAGCACACCGCACACATCTCCGCTTTGGTGGAGTCCCCCGAGCTGGAACACATCTCTTCGCGCACAGCACACCGCACACATCTCTGCTTTGGTGGAGTCCCGGCCTAAGGGCGTACACGCTTTCATCCGTACACGACTCCGTTCATTTACAATTAGTCGTTTACCCGAATTCCATTGGCACTCGTATTCAAGCTAACGACTAGCTAGCGTAATCGAATTGAAGATCAAATCAGTAACCGTTGCTCTTTTTAAATTACAAAGACTAGCTAACCCAACGCACTTCGTACCATCATGAAAATAGGAGTTGGTGGTAGAATGGTGAAATTTTTACAGTATTTTCATAGTTATAAATATTTTTAACACTAAATCATCTTCATCATCATTCATCACTAATTCATCACTTCTATATTTTATTTTAGTATATATGTTTATTTGTTTATATATATAGATATATATGTAGGTTTTATTTATGTAAGTATTGTATTTTGTTATTTATATTCAGGAGGCACACACTGACGACACTTTTTTTATGCTCTTTCCTTTAGCGGGCCTGCTGGAAGAAATTTCAATATGAAATAAGCAGTGCCCTTGTACAAATTTCTTGTTCCTGTTCTTATCTGTTTTATTGTGTGTGTACTAAATTATTAAATAAATAAATAAATCATTAAAATCTTAAATTGTTGTCCAAAAATTTTGGAAGGTCATCCTTATTACCCTTTTTTAATAATGAAGTGAAGCCGTTTCCGAAAAGTGCGAATACACATACTGTGACACTATATTTTGAAGTTGAAGACCACAGTATTAACACTACCTTATGGTGTTGTTGTGTTTCTGATGGTTATAAGGTTCCTGGGCTCCACATTTTTGGTATCGCAAGCATTTATAGGCTATGGTCGCCGGGGCCTCTCACTGACAGGCATGTTTAAGTTTGTTTACCACCCTTCCAACATAAAAAAAAATATTTGCTAACAATCTTCTGGGATTTCCTTTTTTTGTTCAATTAATAATTAAAAACCAAATTATTGATGTTGTTTATAGTCAATCAGAAATCAATTAGAACACATAAATTTAAATATATATTTGCCCTCATTTGGAATGTTTGTATTTAGTTATCTTTAACATTAATTATCCGTATTCAATATCCTATTAAATTTCAATTAATTTATTCCTCCATTATTAGTCAGATAGCTGGACTGATTCCATTATAACTTTCTAAACCTTCCATTAAATCAAATAATACTATACCCCGTTCTCCCGAAATAATGAAAAAGAGAGGATGCTGTCAAAGGAGACTGGGAAACAGTAGTTTAAGAACCAATATTGAAACCGTAGTGGTATTTATGGAGGGGAGCGCCTCAACCACACTTATATAACAAACTAAAACTAATATAAGGGGGCAACAAACCGCGTAAACTGGAGGTTTTTTAGAAATTCCACAGGAAAATAAATCCGGTATAAAAAGTATTCTATATTTATTTTTACTATTTCAAGCATTTAACTGCTATGTTTAAATCCAAAGAAAATTTTACTAGAATAAATTTCACGCTGACAAGGCCATTCCTGTAGGCTGTATTTTTTTTTGTAAAATATCCTATATTAACTATATGCTAAAGGGGATAAAACCTAATTGGCCTATCGAGCCGCGGCCTTTTTTTTAGAATCGCGCCGCGCTTTGTATATTGCATATCGACACCCTCAAGTTTAGAAAAACTAAAAATGGCAAACTTTATAATTTATTTTAATAAGTATCCGTGCTAAGTTTCAAGTCTAACCATTTAAGGAATAAGATATCTTATACAAATTTTCATCCCCCATTTTAATGAATAAATTTTAGTTGGCACCTTATGATACTACCTGTTGTAATAATAGATTTCTTTTCAAATGATATGTTCAAAGTCTTTCCATTTACCTGTTTCTATATATTACTATCGGTAATTAGGTTATCATTATGATTTTCATAAAAATAAACAGATATTATATGGGATGGGAGTATAAACTATCTTTACATAATTTCAGAAATAATCTTTTTATAAATATAATACAAATACTAGTGATAAGTATTATTAAATAAGTATTAACTAAGGTACCTAGTTCTATTCTAATGTTGAAGAGAAGAGAAAAATAATAGTGAAGGATATTCTTTTGGACATGCTGGGGCCGATTTCGTCGATGTCCTCAATAATGTGTAATGTTCACTTGCTTTTATTTAAATTTCATAAACAATTGTTTATCCTTGTCCAATAACTGAAATCCGAAAGCGATATAATTGACCGAAGTCCATTGTTTATATTGTTCCAGATTAGGTCGTTAAGACACGAATTCCCTTTATCAGAATTTCCGGGTTGGCCACAGATTTACGTACTTAGCTCTTTGCTTTTAATTTTAAGACAAAAACCGTAATGACCTTTTACTAAATATAAGGTATTTATTTCATTTGTAGTTACTTGCATCCGAACATAAAAATTTAATATAATAGTCGTAGGATTTAAAAAATCTTTTACACTCCCTTTCATTGTCCTAATGCTGGGGCTCAGGCCTCTTCTACAGATTTAGCAGAGAAGTAGGTCACGACCTACCACGCGAGCCCAGTGTTGTTAGGTGGGTAACACACACATGCACTTTTATGGGTATTAAATTTTCGGTCACCCATCTTATATTCAGTTACTGTAACAGATGCTTAACCTCCACAATCGAAGATCAAACACACTGACCACTGCACCAGCAATCATCTCATCGTACACTCACACATTTTTAAATGAAAAATATGTTTTATTTATTTTAAACTCACTCTCAATATGTACGGCATTTCGGAAGCCGATGATGTTACAAAAGTTATTAGAGCGCATACACAATGATATAATGACTGCAATGCACGTGTTAACACATATACACGAAGTTGCAAACTGAACCAGATACTTTCCAACTATTTGGTAAATACGACAGGAAATCCGTCAAATACACAGGTACTAAGGTATTCGCCAAACAAAGAATCCGCAAAAACAATGAGCGAAAAAAATATGACAGTCATGAAATTTGATAGTGCACGTAATTTGGAACCGTTATCGATGCTCGAATAAGAAATTTTATATGTTTAACCACAAAGACTATTATTGATTGCCTTCTTTTAAAGTATAAGTGCTTGTTGTACCAATTTTTTATATGAACGTAAAGGTGAGAGTTATCTTTTGTTGCGGTAAGTTAATTTTACGGAGAGAGTCATTGTTGCGCTTGTATAAGCAAATTTCGTCGGTCTTGGGATGGGTGACTGGTTTTATACAATTGCAGAAATTTCCTTGTGGACCAATCATCATTATCACCATCAGCCGATGGACGTCCACTGCTGGACATAGGCCTCCTCAGGGGATTTCAATACGCAACGATCCTACGTTTTCCGCATCCAGTGGACCAATACGTCCTCTTTATTCTTTTTTGAATATCCCACAGGAACAGCATTTCCTTCGGGCATAGAAAGTTGTGCATATCCAAATCCAGGTGAATATAAGGTTCGCGACTTCGTTCGGGCTAACTTTAGTGTTTTTAAGAATCCCACAGGAACCTTGCATTTTCTCGTGATAAAAAATATCCTATGTCTCAATCCAGTTCATAAAGTATATGCTCACCAAATTCCATCCGTTCAGTGGTATTTGCGTTAAAGCATAACAAACAAAAAAACTCATTTTCGTATTTATAATATTAGTTAGGATTATATTTTTACATTTAGGCATTTAAATGATACATATAACAATCTATAAAACTTTACTTTATTGGTTAAATATAATGTTTGTGCCCGTGGTCTGTAAATATATATATAAATACTTACGAACTGTTTGAAATAGAATGATTTCAAATTAATTTAATTAAAATAATCAACAATTAATTTGTTTTAATCAATACTTTGAAAATAGCTATGGGGAAAAAGTTAATAATTAAGCTTTTATCAGAATTTCAGTTTATCACTCACAGGAAAAAGCCACTTTTTCCTTTAATTTCTACATACCTATGTACCATAATTATGATATGTCTACTGTATATTTATAATATATTATTTATAATGTAATTTTAATTATGAGTCATTATAATAATTTATTGTTTAAATGTATCATGATCACCGACATAAATTACTTTATAAGA